ACAACCTGCCGCTATCTTCTTGGAGATTCATATTTACAATACCTCCCATCTCCATTAGCTAAATCCCATAAATGCAATCAAGGTATGAGAAGCCGCTGTGAGATAAAAGGAATGAAATTAATCATTAAAAAAAAGGGTAATACCATAGAAAGAATGTATTTGTAATTCATCCAAAACTGGATGCTATATCCATATTAGTGATGCTTTTGTTAAGAAAACATTAATGCATTCTGCTAAACAAACAACTGTAGAATTACAATTGCAAAAAACAATGCATACATCTCCAAAGCAAAACCAAGAAATTAAATTTCAAATCTTTGAAACACTATGAATAAAAAAACAGGTAGAATCAGATTAACAAATGGCTTGACACACAAAAGAAAAAAAAAAAAAAAAACGGTTGAAAAACCAGAATGTGTGTAGGAGAGACAGAAAAGAAGCAGAATATCTGTAATACAACTAAAATCTAAAAAGAAAAATATAGCATTCATACCTAAACTCATGAAAGCTAAATAAAAAGCAACCATAAAAGCAATGAATAAAGCTTAAACTCTAGAACATTACAGATCTAAAGAAGCTATTTAATATACAAAGAAGTTTAGTTATAATGATCCACTTCTCAATTTAGTAAAATAAAATAACATTTCCATGGTAATTCAGATCTGAGGAACTTGGCTTCAAACTATGCTGCCAAACCAATAAAAAACAAATTGAAGTTTACAAGACTACAAAACAAGAAAAAAGGGCATTTTATCAAAACAAATAATTAGCCAAAAACAAATAAAAAAGGCTGTATTTTTGAAAGCAAAGTTGATAACTTTTTTTATTTTGACAATGAAAGATACAAACACTTACAATTTGCTATCATCAATGTAGAATTTAAGCAATGGAGTTAGCTTTACCATTAAAAGTTAGATTTGATAAAGACCCATTTTAAAAACAGACTAAGCAAAGTAAAGATTTTTGTCAATGCTCAAAAAACCAAGCTTTACCTTATTAAAATTCGAAAAAGAATGAACCCAACATAGTCATCCAAAAGCCTGAACTTTGTAAAAAAGAAAACCACTTCTTTACTTTCTTTGTCCAACTTAAATTCAACCCTTTTCTTTCTCTCTCTTGTCTTCTAAAAACACAGTCTATACAAAGATTTTCTCGTCTTTCTCTATAGGTTTTTTGTTCTAACAGAAGCAGAAGTACCGTTGAAGAAGGTGAAAAGTTTGCGACCCAAAAGCACGGATCTGGCGAGGCATGGGTTAGTAGGCTCCACTGTCCATTTTTGCCTCCCCCTTTTTATAGCTGTGGAAGAAAAAAAGTTTTTTTTTTTTTTTTTTTTCTGACAAAACAAAATCCACTGTGTTTTTCGGCTTTTGGATTCACATTTGACATGGGTTTTTGTTACTGTCACTGTTGATCTTGTGGGTGCTGTGTTGTCGCTCGTTGGCTTCCTGCTCTTCTTGTTTTTAAGGTTGCTAAACTTATATGGTACTTTGGTTTTCAAAGCACAAAAAAAAAAAAAAAAAATCTTTACTCCTTTTAGGAATATTGCATATAAGCATGCAAAATTTATGTTGTTATAATTGTCACTCAATTCGTTGATATATTTCATTTTATGATGAATTATTTCCTTTTATTTTTTTATCTATTAAGTTGAATTTTTTATCTTTTTAATGTCATGCATTTCATTGTATGTTATTATTTCAATATTTGCACGAGGAACATATAAAAGATCAAAACCGTGCATGAACCTAGTAAATTGAATATATTAGCTAATCTCTATTCAATTTGTACAAAAAAAATATACTTTAATCATTAATATGTTACTTGATCGCAGTTAATAATTTTTATTCAAACATACAGTATAAGCTCTTTATTTTTTTTAAGTTTAATTATTAGTAATAACAATTTAAAAAGTGAAATAAAACAATGATAATTGATGAAATTATGATGATGACTTCAAATTAATGTTTAGAGGATTTTGTGAGTGTAATAATAGAGCAAAAGTAATGGCATCAAATAATCAGAAAAAAAAAAAAGAGGATGGTACTGAGAATTTTAACAGAGAACACAGACTGTTGATTCTGCAATAATGAAGAAACTTTGGCCAACAATTAAAAAAGTTACTGTCACTTGTTGAATGCAACTTAATGAAAAGGGGGGGAAAAAGGGATATAGTTACACAAAACAATACTCTTCAATTCATTTGGGATGTAAAGAAAAACTTTAGCCAATGATTTAATAGTAGCGAGTATAACTAACTTGTTTGAAATCTTCAGCTGCTCTTAGTATGAACATGGACACAGTGCACACAAATCATTATTGGTGGCAATAAAATATGATAATATCCCTATCTACCATATGATTTTTAAGTTGGCTTAAATGAACATTTTGAATTGTCTCTTTCAACTCAAGTGCAAAACACTCCGTTTGGTAGTACTTGCACATGCTTCCATGCCAGACCACACCCAATGAAGGGCTCTGATTTCTTTGCAGTCAGTCAAAGGTGGGTTTCCTACACTTGTCACCAAAGAAAAATAGTGAGAAAAATTTTGTTTCTTTTTTCTTGTAAATTTTTTGGCACCAAGAGAAAGAAAAATGGGGAACTTCTAAGAGTTTACTGGGGTTTGAAGTTTGAAGCTGGAGAATTGTCCCTCCACAGCTTCAAGACAAGTTAAGAGTACAAGCATATAAAGCATAGAAGAGACTATAGTTTTTTTTTTTTTTCTTTGCGGCACAACAATTTGGAATATTCATTTTTTCAATCTTTTTGAAAAGTAAAGTGGGCCATGAGAAATAAAAGTTGTCACTATCATAAGTTTGATGCTATCAACTGTAGATATTTATTGACATTTTTCCACTTTTGAGCAGCATGGCCAACCAACTCCACAATAATGTGGGAAATTGTTGGGTGATAAATTTTGAACCTTATCAATATTGGATGCATGTCGGGTTGCAATCTAACAAAATAAAAATAGAAGAAAAAAACATTTTTTTTTCAAAATTCTAATTTTGCTTAAAAAACTTATTTTAAGTATTGATATTATATTTAGATCAAATTCGAATTCTAATTAATTTAACCTATAAAGTATCTCATAAACTTAGTTAAATGTAGTTGTTTGGATGTCTGGTTTATGCATAATTTTAATTACTCAAGATATACATAGGTTTTTTTTTTTTAATTAAGAAAATGTTAATCAATGTTTAAAGTGATAATCAAGGGAAAAAGTTGTAATTAATGCATTGTCTTTTTATTGTTTTTAAATATGATAAAAGTAATACATTAGATATAAAATTTTATTTAAAATTAATATTTAAAAATTTGAACTATACTTAATCAATGTCTTCATCTGTATATATTGAAACATAAACAAATAAAGAAGTAATTCTTCCATTAAATATATGTAAGTAGGCATTGCCTACCTATTGCTTTAGGCTGTAACCCCAAAAAATTTGGTAGGTTTTTCTTTTTTTTTGTATACATTGTTTGAAACACTAGGGGTAGGGTTTCTACTTGGAGCTTGGATGCATGTGGTAGTAAAAGCTGGACAGGTGGATTACAAATTGTAGAATGAGAAGATGAGCATGCTTTCAAAATTGTATAAAATTTTTTTACCCAATATTAAATTCAATAAACCCCTATAATTCAACTTTGTTGGTTGTATTTAAAATGATGAGAAATTTTCTTTGAGCTGTGTGTAAAAACAAAAGGATATATCCCTCAAAAGGAACACCTAGTCTACCTGTTCAAAATTCAAACTAAATTGTTATTTGACATTTAGTCTTTGAACCATCTTGATTCTGAAACCTGCCAAAATGGAGGTTCTACTTATACAAGTTGTCCATGAAAAATTATTGAATTACCCAATTTATTTTTATTTTTATTTTTATTTTTCCTTGATAGTTGATTCATTGCAACATCCTACAAAATTTAGTAAATTTCAAGTATAAACAATGGTTTCAAATATCGGTACTAAAATTTAAAATTTTAAAAATAAATAAATTGTTTACTTTTGAATTTGTAAAAAGTGATATCTTATAAAAATAATTTATTTTTAGTAAGTTAGGACAATAGATTATAAAAAATCGTGCATTCAAAAGAACCATTAATCATAAATTATATGTAAGATTCAAACTTAAGATCATGTGCGTATAAAACAAGTGACTTGGACCAACTCCTTGGTGTATTTTTCCAAATGCAACCATAAATTTGATGTCTTTACTTATCTAAAAAAAATGGATGCCTTGGTATATCTAGCTGTCCCTAATATAAGTGTGTATCAGCATAAAATATAGTAAGATTTAATCAAATGACTAGTGAATCCAAAATGTGGGACAAATTGACCCATGGAAAGATGCAAATCATAATAGGAGATAGGGTCAAAGTATATTGTTGTTATGTTGACCGTATTGGACTGTTGTGTCGACTTCAAATTTCATTTTCAGAATTACAACTGGATAGTTTCTGGCCTAGGAGTTGGCTCCTAACAACCCAAAACAGCTACCATTCTGATTTCTGCTGCCTACGTTTTTTCCTCGGGTAAATGAGACAAGGCCCTCAAGGGTGGGTGTCACTGAGACTTAATAGTGGAGCAGATGCGACTTATTTTTTTTTATATAGCTTTATTCAAAGTTTATTTTCCCAGAATGATGAAAACCTTTTAATTTAAACCTTCACGTTTAATTGTTGTATTTCTTCAAAAAAAACTTTTTAGCCCCATAATTAGAACTTGACACTTCAACATCGAAGTTTGTTTTTTACCATGAATATGGTTATCTTTGAATGTACTGGGATTTCTAAAGTCATGCTTGGATCATTAAAAATAAAAATTAAATAAACCAAAATTAAATATACATGGGATTATTTATTTATTTATGCTCTTGGGTTTTTATTTTCATTTGTTTAAATATATATTTTTAGGATTAAGTACATTTATTTTTTAGAATTTTAAAATTAATTTTTTTATGCTGTTTAAAAAATTTATACGCTGTCAATACATTAAATATAAATCATTAAAGCTGTTGCAAAATTTAAAAAATCTGTCGATTAGAATTAGTCCTATAGTTAATCACAAGTATAGCAGTCAGAATCAATAAACATCCAAAACAGCGTGATGCATAAAAGATGTCTCAGTTCTCAGTGGATATACCATACTCATTAGAATTGAAGTTTCATATTGAACTTGAACTTGTTATGGAGATTAGAAGATACAATATTGGATGTCCATAACAACAAGACAACGAGCATATAGTTGGCAGCATAACATGATATTTGTACTTTCACTCTGTCGTCACCCACACTAGACAAAAGCACCAAAAAACCCTCATGCAGAAACACACAGCTCAAAAAAATTGATACTACACAGAATAAATTATAATTACAAATGCAATATAACAAACCTCATATCTCTGATACGTGACAAATTTACTGTTAGTTGGCACATGTTGAACAATAACTTTTACGGAAAAGGCTTACGCACCATGCTGTACCGATTAGGATACGAGTAATTATCTAAGAAAGATAAGATCATATAATTTCGGCAGATCAGAAATCAAGTCAATTTGGAGTGCTAATGGGATATAATCTCCGATACTCGATCTTGTGCATCAGGAGGTATCTCCCTTCCTGGGACCCCGACTTTTAGAAGATTAACATACCTGTCAAAACAACAGCATAATTCTGTCACTAAACTAATATGCAAATATTTTGGTCCAATTAGGAGGAATTAGTCAATGCCACTAACTCTGCAGCTGTAAACAAGTGCTCATGCTCTGTAATGAAGGCAAGCTAGGCCTGCAATCGAGGAAAGTGCAAATCAATTGTTACAGCAAAAAGTTTATCCAACATTCACGAAGGGGTACTATGAGTTCATATAGCTTGCCTCAAATGGCATGTTTAACAGTTCATAATAGGTTCGAACACGATCTAATCTCTGCTGTACAGCTTCACTGTCAATTGAAGGGATAGCTGCAAGGGCCTGCAACGCCAACAGAGATTGTAAATCAGGATTGTGTTGTACATGCAAAACTGAAATCAGAAGGCTACAACCAAACCATTTGGATTTTCAACAACTTGAATTGGAATATAAAGCTTGGAACTTATTTTTTGGTCAACTCCTGGCCAAACATTGAAACAACAAAGGCAAATCCAAGCAAGGAGAATTACAGGCAAGGATAGGGTTATGCAATTGATGCTAGTATAACATATATCCTTTTTCACAAGAACTGATCATCCATGAAGAAAGAGAGGAGAGAGAGTAAAAAAGCGGAGATCTGAGCATAGAACTCTTGGCATAGGGAACTGTCAGTCTCAGACATCCAACCAAGTAAGATCACCAACAATGATTTCTCTTATGCTTTAGAAAGAAACAGATCATATTATTTCAACTATAGAAAATATTCGCAACTATTATTTCAAGCAATAAAAATTGCCTCTTTGGAATTAACAAAGACTGATTCCTGTCAACTGAGGTTTGTGAAAGAGATATTGTTTCACCCTATGTTGCTCCGACTCTTCATTTTTCCAAAAATACTAATCTCAGTAGACACATATAATAAACCTCAAAGTGGACATTGTGGGGTCTGAGCTTCCAGGAACATAAAATTTACAAAAGAAAATTGATGACACCTGTGTCTTACAAATACCCATGTCTGACTCACTCCTGAAACCAAGCAACATAGGTTTCGCCACTAACTTGACAAGACTGAGTCTGAATGTAAGGCAAAACTCAAAGATTGTAATCTTCATATAAGGAAAACTCTTCATTTTTCCAAAAATACTTGTCTCAGTAGACACATGTCATAAACATCAAAGTGGACATTGTGGGGTCTAAGCTCCCAGCAACATAAAATTTACAAAAGAAAATTGATGGCACCTGTGTCTTACAAATACCTATGTCTGACTCAACCCTGAAATCAAGCAACATAGGTTTCACCATTAACTTGACAAGACTGAGTCTGAATGTAAGGGCAAAACTCAAAGATTGTAATCTTCATATGAGGAAAACTTGAGAATAGACTCAAGAGACAAGATAATCCTCCTATACATTAAAGCAATCAATTTACACAACAGACATTGAACTGCATAAAAAAGCAGATAATATTCCTAGAGAAAAAAATGGGAATATTTTCATATCATTTCAAGCACCTTCAGAGATTAAAAAAAAAAAAAAAAAACCCTGCCATTCTGCAATCTCACTACCCCACCGCATCTAAAAATAAAAAGACATGCTAACCTGTTCTAGAGCAATTGAATTCCGACATATCTGCTGAACTCCAAACAAGTTGATCGATTTCATGTCGGCCAAAGCCTAATCAGATGTATTCTCCCATCGGTAAGAGGAACAAAGTAGGTGCTACTCTACACTAAATTGGAACTAATCTGAATAATTAGCAAATCAGAATCAAGGTTAACTTTACAATGAACTCCAACCTTAATGGATGCATTTGCAGCAATACTACATATTCCACCAAATATGTAATTCCGCTTCACTGCAGCAACAAAAGGCGCCATTTCCTCATCCCTGCATGTTATCTATCCATACAGAAAACAAAAAAGAAAATTTAAATGTTGGTAGCATTAAAATATTCATCAAAGGAAAAATCAAGCAGCTGATCCTCTGAAATTGGGAATACTAATGGGAAGAATAAATATGGCATCAAATTTTTCCAAGCAATCTGATCAATTTTTTTTTTACAAAATGAGAGTTGTAAGGAAATAATGCCCAAAACTTTTTCATCCTCTATTTTCTTCACTTCTATCTGCCGACCCAATAACCTTATGATTGAAAAAGACAAATGTAAAAAAATAGACACTGACAAACTAGATGCAGCTAAGGATAAGCTGAACGTAAAATATTAAAATGGTGCATAGCATTAAGAACTCTTCATATGAAGCCGGCAGCCAAATTCTACCTTTCTTCCATGAAGGTTATTACCCACCAAGGACTTTAGATCTTAATTCTAACTTAAAGGAGAATGAACTGATGGACAATTATCCATTGGAAGTTTAAAACAGAAATAAGTATCCTAAAAGCAGCCCAACGAAATACCAAAAATTACACATTAATAAGAGTTGGAGAAAGTGACCTGTGCAATAAGTGAAACAATGAAGTCATCTGGCTCTTCTGCATCTTGGTTTTCCATGTATTCCCTATCTGTCATTTCCTGCTTGAACCGTAATGCTTTGATTAGTTACAGGTGCTTTCACCACAGTCATTCTTCAAGTCTTTCTGAATGCTATTCTGACAAACCTGCATGTGGAAAATTGTCTCCAACCGCATCTCCACACGTAAAACTTTCAAGCAATCAATTGCTAGTTTTCTGTACTCATCTGCAAAAGATGCCATGTTCCTAGCAGGTGAACTGCTTGCTCGTGTACGGCGAGGCTTGCCACTCTCCACATGATTTGATGTTTGTGGGGTTGTTTGTACAAGTCTACATGTTGCATTAGGTATGTATAAAATGTAAGAAACAGCTGAAAATTTATGATAGGAAGTTCTCAAAAGCATAATTGTCTATCATGACATATCACTTTTGCAGAAGGATCTGCTCCATTAAGAACACATAGGGCAAAAATGATACACAATTCTTGATATCTAAGTATGGCAGGCAGGAAAGGAGTAAAATAAGCAAAGGGGAAAAAGGATTGAGATATTAATGCCATAACATTTCATTTTTCTCCGATGCAAAGCTCCATTCGGTTGCATAGACAATTTTAGGTTACAAGTGTTAATGCTATATCATCACTCCTTATTTTAGGTTACAAATGTCATTGCCATATCATGACTCCTTATATCAACAATTTTACCTGGATCTAAAAATACGTGACTTAATCACATAGAAGAGTATACATGCTACTTGCATAACTTATACAATATCATAACTCATTGGTACATGTAGATAAAAATCCAGATGCATGTTCTCGAATGCATCTCTCATTGTGTCCATATTAATAATTCTCTATGTCCTCATAAACTACTCTTTAAAGTCCATTGTGGCTTCCACAAACATTGAAAATTATATCACAGTACCAACTCAAGCCAGATCAAAGAACTTGCCTTTCAATTGAGTCTGCAACATACTCCAATGAATCACTCAGGGATGCCAGCAAAACAAGTTTATTGTCATCACAAATTAGATTTTCCTGCGCAAAAGATGTGATAAGAGAAAGAACAAATACCTTCAATTGATACTTTGACAACATCAATTTATATGAAAGACCCAAGTTTCATTAGCAAGTCAAGCTCAAATGCATAATAAATTCAATTTTCTGGAAGATTAAATAGTAGACAGCTAGAAAATTTGCTCAGTAAAAAAAAAATTGAAACAGTGAGGAAGAAGTCATCATCAGGCATAAATGTACCTGCTTAATAGGACGCAAATTTAAGAGAAGTTCGCTTAGTTCTGATTCAACCTCAACACTTCCCGCATCAGAAGTAATTACCTTCTCCACTTTTGACCTGACCAAGTGCCATTTGGTAAACATGCACTAGCTGGATCAAGGCGCATCAATTTCTCAATATCATGCCTTCCAATGAGCATATAGCTCTGCTTCTCAAGAACTGCCTGAAATATTAACAAAATGTTTATGAATGGAAAATGTTGATTACTGTTGCATAGTAGCATGGATAAAATAAAAGGATAGAAACCACTTCGCTATTATATTCTCAGTAACAATGATGGCAAATCAAGAACTAATTTCAACTATCTCAATCAAATAACTCCAATAAGAAGCATGCACACCTCTGCTTCTCAGTTTACACAATGGCATTACATTCTACATCATGTGTGGAATTAATTAGATAACACCAGACATTCCTTAGTGTCCTCTTTCCAGTTTGATCTTTTCATATTCTTTTGGGACATTTTTTGGCACTTATTCTTTTGGAAACTTTTGTCACAGTCATAAAATAACATCACTATTTTTTTCAGGCCAATTTTATGCTTTTGTCTCTACCTGTTACTTGTGTACTAAAAGAACTGGTATGACCATGAGCTGTTACATTCACATCTTTGTTTACATGGCCCCTACAGAAGACAGGCAAATATATAAATCTTAATCCTTGCTTGATCAATATCTACGATAAATAAATGCAATTCCACCTAGGCACTGAAAAATATTTATTCCAAAAGTTCAGGTCCATCTTAAACAAAAAAAAAAAAAAAGAATGAAGAAGTAAACAGAAATTCCTCACCCATCCCCTCCCCCCTCCACCCCCACCCATGTCTAATGTCTAGCACAGCAACAAACAACCTATCTATCAACAAAATATAGAAAATTAATTATTCAGGTGAAGATGTTCAAGCATTCTTTAAAAAAATGTTCTTTATAATTTTCACATGTTATTGATATGACCAAAAACTGCAAAATATAGAGACAACTAAACCAATTAAACCTGGTTAACATAAACAAAAATCAACAACAAATAAAAAGCATGTTAAAAGCAAAAATAAGGAAGAGCATGTATAAAGAAGAATCCCCACCTCCATGTATGAAGTTCGACATCTTTCATAGGTTCGCTCAAGGAAAGTTTGCACATATTTCACACGGTCAGCAGCAAATTTAGGCATTGCTTGAGCCCAAACAAGCACCTAGAGTTCAATTAAAATTTATCATTAGGAAAAAGATACAGCTGTAAAATAGATGGTTCAGAAACTTGTAAGGAAAATGTTCAAGATAAACAAAGGAAAATGCTAAATAATTTTTACCCAAATATACCAAAAAAATAAAGCAAAAAGCTAATAGTCTGCTATTGCAAAATACTGCATATGATATTAGGAGTTTGAAAGGAGAGGAAAAAATAGTTTCTTCAGGAAACAAGAAAGATAAAACAAACTTGCCTCTTTGGCTAAGAAATCAATAGCCAGAAGCCCTTGCAAGACAGGTCGACCCTTCTCAATGGTTGAAGCATATGAAACACTAGTATGTGCCCGTGGCCGAAATGCAGCTGGACCTGTAAGAAAACAATTTCAGGCTAGGAGTTTTAAGGAATCCGAACTAAAAAACGCTAAAAGAGTTTTAAAGGAGAAAAAAAGATGGAATGAAAAGCTGGACTGTCATATATGTGATTAACTGACATTTAACCAGTTTTTAACCTTGCATTTCCTGAGACTAACCCACCCCCGGTCTCTTGCAGCATGATTCTCATAGAAACTTCTTCCATTATTCTCTGCTTTCTTAAAAGAAATTACTACACTTACATCACTCAGAAAGATGGTTATGTATATTTTCTTTCATGCAATCCTTGTAAATCAGTAATGAGCACTCCATTAATTGCATTGCTGTTTTATTTGAACTAGTATATCACACAGGTTTATTTAAATACATTTTGTTTTTTAAATTATATTGAGCCAACCATCTTTTCAGTGCACTAACTCGCTAACATTGGCGAAACAAACCTAGCTTAACATCCATCAAACAAATTAGACCCCTCCTCGTCCTTCTTGTGATAGTCATCCTAAGCTGCTGAATAAAGGAAAATAACAATAGTATATGATTAATATAAAAATGAGACAGTTATTTTGATAGACATAGTTTTTAATCTAACAAGTTAACAGTTAAAATTATTAATGAGGCATGGATTGAAAAATGATAATTAATGAATAGCAGGACTCTATGGTTATGGAACTTGCTTGATATAGCTTGTTGTAGGCCTTTCCGGTAGTCAACAAACATGGTTGGTAAAAGGTGGTCCTTCACAAAGTTCTCCACAAAGGTTAGCAATCCATCATTCCTGAAATTATAGAAATTAAGGATACAAAAGAATATTAATGTCAAAGTAACAGCCCATTTGTAAAAGAGTTGGACCACATATTTGTGTAGAATTTCACCTAGATTTGATGAAATGAATGAAAATTTCAACTTAGACACAGCTTCAAATATTCTTAAAACAAGAAAGATACTAAATTAAACTGTCCATCTTTTCTGTTGGCCAAAAAAAATTAAACCAAACCGTCCTTATGATTAGCAAAGCACACAAATCAAGATCACCATGATCCAATATATAAACATATTCAAACAAGAAATAACATATATATATATATATATATATATATATATAAGCACAAATGTTGCGAAACTTTTTAACTGGCAAAAATGAGCATTCCTTTCATCCATTTTAAATACTTTTTATTATTAATAAGATATATCCAATTTATAAGTACGAATTTAATAATTTTCCTTAAATGGGTTTTTTGATAATAAATAAGAAAGAGTTAAGTTTAAATTGAATTGTTTTATCTTTAAAGGGTTTCAATTTTTAGTAAACCTTAAAAGTAAAAGAGTTTATGCTAATTTGATATATAAATTTTACATGTTAATACAAAATTCAATTAATATCTACTCTATTAATTTTGGTTATTTATACAATATGTAACTTTATGTTCAATATATAATTTTCATAGAAATAAATGTCTTCATGTTCGACGCATGTGACAAAAAATACTAGTTACAAAAAAAAATAAAAGGGATATAACTATTAAGATAGCAAATTATGGAAGAACTCTAGCAAGTTAGCCATCGTCAAACAAGAAATAATGAAAAAAAATGCAAAAAATAATTCCTACAAAGCAAATTATGGAAAAGCCAGGTCTACATATAAGGAGAGAAAAAAAAAAAAACTCAGTAAAAGCATCAACATGGAAATGTCTGAAGATGCCACAGGAAGGGATATGGCTGAAAGCATTTGGAAACTTAATAATCAAACCCATGTGATAAAACAGATAGAAAGTGAATGGTTGTAAACATTGTCCCCTTCCAAATCTCACTTCAAACACAAACATTTCAATTTAACCACACAAGAGATTGACAAAAGCAGAGCACAGAATGGGAAATGAAAACTACATGTGTGCTTTGCCTAAGGGCTATCCTTAAATACTTATCATATCATTCACAAAAAGTGACTCTTCTTTGTATCAATACAAGCTTGGAAAGGAGACTTACCCAAGCTGGGAATACTTTTTCGGCAGTATAGAAGCAATCTTATCTGTAAACTGCACCACACAGCAGAATAAAAAAGGCCATTTACAGAACCATCTATGAACGTGTAACAAAAAATATGTTTGAAAACACTGATATTTGATTCTTTTGGTCCCAAACCTGAAGAACAGGCCGGTATATAGTTGCTGCTAGATAAATGCCTTGCTCAGGCAAGACAGCTGCAGAGCCATAACCTTCTTGTAAAACATTGGGACCCCTCCTACTCCATCCTTGGCAAATGAGATCAACTCCTATATAGTAAATGAGGCACACAACAATAAATTTTGATGAGAAGATGATTAACAAATTGAATATGTGAAGAAAAGTTACACTTAAAACCAATGGCAACCCAAAAGGAAAAGGAAGACAAAAGTTCCCAATCACCACAAAACTAGAACAGAAATCATAAATGGCTGCTGCAAAGAAAAAAAAGGGGGGGAGAGAGAGAAAGAGAGAACAGCTATTAAATCAGCAAAACAAAAATTGTTACTCCAACTGCTTGCTGAATCAAGCAATCTTGATTAAAAAATTGACATTGCTTGAAAGTGTCAAACCTGTGAATTTTACATTTAAAAGCTAATTGAAAATCTCATTATGCTTCCCCCTGCTAGCAAAACATACAATAGTTCAAATGAAGAAATTTCACCACCATACATACTGTCACTTAATACATGCAAGAACTATAATTCTACAATGTTCACAATGAAGAACAATCTTCTACCACAAATTTTTGGAAATAAGATGAATTTCTGTTCATTTATGCTTCTTTTACCATTTTTTTTCTCAAAAGGAAACACCCAGCGAGGTTGGACACTCATTCCTATAATACCACATATTCACTACAAGTGTTGAGGTTAAAGGAAAGGGAGATAGAATTTTACTTGTTAAACTTATTTTAGAAGAGGAAACAGTTAACATCATTAGTGCATACGCCCCGCAAATAGGTTTGGATCAAGAGAGTAAGCAAAAATTTTTGGAAGATTTAGACGACATAGTGCGAGCTATACCATACGAAGAAAAATTGTTTATTGGTGGAGATATGAATGGTCACGTAGGAAAGGATGGTAATGACTTTGAGAGAGTACATGGAGGATATGGCTTTGGAAAAAGAAACGATATTAGAGATACTATCTAGAGTTTGCCATTGCATTTGACCTAACTATATTAAACATGTGTTTTAGAAAAAGGGAATTGCACTTGGTGACATTTAGAAGTGAATTAAATGCTAGTCAAATTGATTTCTTTCTTACGAGGAAAGAGGATAGAAGTAGTTGTAAGGATTGCAAGGTTTTACCAAGTTAGAGTGTGACAACACAACATAGACTGTTAGTACTCAATTTATTCCACCTTAGGGGGTCAAAGAAGAGACATCAGAGTCATGAACCACGTATTAAGTGGTGGAACTTGAAGGAGGACAAAATGGTAGCATTTAGGGATAGACTAGTAAAAGAAATTGAGTGGAAGCCTAATGAGGATGTAGAAGTGATATGGGAAAATATTATAGCCAAAAGTCAAACGGCTGCCAAAGAGACACTTGGCAAATCTAAGGGTAGTGCACCATTAGGAAAGGAATCTTTGTGGTGGAACGAAAATGTGAAAATGGCAATTAAAGCTAGGAGGGAGTGTTATAAGAATTTATGGAACAATAGGGATGAGGAAAGTTATCTGAAGTAAAAGAAAACAAAAAAGAAAACCAAGAAGGCTATTCAAGACTCAAAGAGTAAGATCCATGAGGAGTTATATAAAAAACTAGAGTCAAGGGATGGAGAAAAAAAACTGTTCAAAATTGTTAAGATGAGGGATAAGAAGAATAGGGTTCTTAATGGCGTTAAATGCATCAAAGGCGATGATGAATGAGTTTTAGTGAAGAATGAGGAGATTAAGAAGAGATAGAAAGATTATTTTGATAGTTTCTTTAATAGAAGTTTTAAGCATGATTTAGGTGGGTTAAACATACCTTTTCAGGATGTGAATCATGTGTTGAAGTATAATATTAAAAGCTATGAGGTTAAAGAGACTTTGAGAAGGATGAGAGTAAAGAAAGCTGTAAGACCAGATGGAATCCCTATTGAAGTTTAGAAATGCTTAGGTGAAATAGGGATAAGATGGTTGACGAATCTTTTCAATAAAATTTGGCATACTCAAAAGATACTAGAAGAATGGAGGAAGAGCACTCTTGTGCCTTTATATAAGAATAAAGGTGATATACAAGATTGTTCGAATTATTGAGGAATAAAATTTATGAGTCATACTATGAAACTTTGGGAGAGAATAATTGAATGTAGGTTGCAACATGAAATAACTATCTCTGAGAACCAATTAGGGTATATGCCACGATGCTCCACAATAGAGGTGATCCACCTTTTGAGGCTTTTATTGGAGAGTTTTCGGGTGAGAAGGAAAGATTTACATATGTCATTTATCAACTTGGAGAAAGCACACAATAGAGTTCCCTTGAAATGCGCTTTGGTGGGCCTGAATGAAAAAGGAGTCCCTTAAAGTACATCAACATAGTTAAAGATATGTATGAGGGAGTGGTAACGAATATGAGGATGGTTGGAGGCATGTCAAATAGCTTCCCCATTACATCAAGGCTCAGCACTAAATCCATTCCTTTTTGCCTTAGTTATGGATGAACTTATTGGATGTATCCAAAATAAAGTACCATGGTGTATATTATTTGCCGATAATATAGTCTTAGTTGCTAAAACTAGTGATGACCTTAATGCAAAATTAGAATTATGGAGGAGTATATTAGAGTTTCGAAGTTTTAAATTAAATAGATCTAAAATTGAATATATGAAATGCAAGGATTTAAATAGCAATTTTGGTCATGTTTTCAGTTACATCGTATTTATCGCGTTTTCGGATATAATGGGGATCATTATTATCATCGAGGTCATCGTGATCGTGATTATTTTTCATTTTGCACGATTTGTTGTAAAATATAATAATTATAATTATAATCATAAAAACTCTTATTTAATGATTTTTAAAATAGTTTATGATACTATATTTTTTATTTTTTAAAAAAATTATTCACAATTTTAGTTAGATTATAATAAATAGAATATTCAATAATTACACAAAAATAAAAATAAATTAATAAGAACTAATATAATAGTAAAAGAATTGACAACAATATAAATATCAAAACAACAAAATAAATATCAAAACAACAAAAAAATAATTAAATTTCAAATATAAAATTATAAATTAATAAATAACAAAATCAAAATATAATATTTAATTTTAATTATTTTTAATTTAACTTATACAAAAAAATTTATGAAAATTTTTCATCTAAAATCCCTATATATATCATATTAAATTATTAATCTCTTAATTTTTTCAATTATAAAATCTTAAACCCTCTAACTAAATTTTATCTAAAAAAATTTTAAAAATTGCAAAATTTTAAATTTATATTTTAATAAAATTAATTATAAAATTAAATAAAAACCACCCATCCTCACTCTGCCCCCAGTGCACCCCACCCACCCACCCTATCCCCAACGCACCCTACCCAACCCAATCCAACCCCACCACCCTATCTGAGACAAGACCTAACAACCCACACCACTCCCTAATTCTCTTTCAAACAATCCCCAAATTTCCTCCAAAAATTTTCCTGTTCATCTTTAACCTTTTTCATAGCGCCATTCTCTCAAATTAACTTAACTCCTTTTTTTTTGCATCTTTCTCTCGTATACCCTCATCTCTCTCACTTAGATTCTCACAAACACAAAGATCAACATTATTCTACAAAAATTTTACAAAAAAAAAAGATAATTTAATTTCTTCTTACCTTCTTTGATTTTGATTATTGATTGAGGATTTGAGGTTGATTTGAATTTGGATAGCTACCGATTGAATGATTGATAGTTGATATTGTTTTCTAAGGTTTTTTAGACGAATTTTGTAATTGAGAATATGAAAATGAGATTGACTGATTGAGTTATCTTTTTTTTTGCTTTTGTTTTTATTTTGCTTTCGCAATCTTAGTTGTTTTATTTTGATTTTTGAGAATCTTGACATATTGGGTTGAAACTTGAAATTTTTTTTTTTAATTTGTACTAATGGAAAAACGGGATAGCGGCAATAATGGCCTGTTATTGCCGTTATTTTTCGTTACACCGTTTTTCAGTGGCTGTTACACACCATTTTGAGTGTGATTAAATTTCTCAACCACATTTTCTTTAATAACGGTGGGGGTGTTGGCGCTACCGGCCGCTGTTCTGCTATAATACCGCTATTTGAATCCCTTATGAAATACAAGTTTAATAATCATAGGAAAGCGGGTACTAGTGTGACTAAGTTGGATGGTGAGGTAGTTCCTAAGAATAGCCAGTTTCGATTTTTGGGGTCAATTATTCAGAGTGATATTAAGATAGAAACAGATGTCATGCATAGGATTCAAGCAGGACGAAAGAGATGGCGAAGTTCGTCAGGTGTGTTATGTGATCCCAAAATGTCTTTAAAGTTAAAAATGAAGTTCTATAAAATAATTGTAACGCCTGCATCAGGGATTCAAATAGAGGTGCTATAGCGGAATAACGTCGCGAAATTGTGGTAGTGCCATCACCTGCTACCACCATCAGGGAAAATACAGTTGAGAAATTTAATCACACTCAAAACGATGTGTAACGGCCACTATCCCGTTTTTCCATCAATACAAATTAAAAAAAAAAAAATTTCAAGTTTTAGCCCAATATGTCAAGATTCTCTAAAATCATAATAAAACAACTCAGATTGCAAAAGTAAAAGTAAAAACAAAAACTAAAAGAAAAGATAACTCAATCAATCAATCTCATTCTCATATTCTCAATTTCAAAATTCGTCTAAAAAACATTAGAAAATAGTATCAACTATCAATCATTCAATCGGTAGCTACCCAAATTCAAATCAATCTCAAATCTTCAGTCAACAATCAAAATCAAAGAAGGTAAGAAGAAATTAAATTATCTTTTTTTTTTTGTAAAATTTTTGTGGAATAATGTTGATCTTTGTGTTTGTGAGATTCTAAGTGCGAGAGATGCAGAAAAAAAGAGAAGTTAATTGAGTTAATTTGAGGGAACGACGTCATGAAAAAGGTTGAAGATAAATAGAAAAAATTTTAGGCGAAATTTGAGGACTGTTTGAAAAAGAATCAGGGAAGTGGGGTGGGGTGTTGGATCTTGACTCAGATAGGGTGGCGGGTGAAGGGGTGGGATTGGGTGGGGTGCGTTAGGGGTAGGGTTGGGGGGTGAGGTGGGGTGCATTGGGGGTATTTAATTTTATTAAAATATAAATTTAAAATTTTGTAATTTTTAAAATTATTTTAGATAAAATTTAGTTAAAGGGATTGAGATTTTATAATTGAAAAAATTAAGAGATTAATAATTTAATATGATATATATATATATATGGATTTTAGATGAAAAATTTTAATAAATTTTTTTGTATAAGTTAAATAAAAAAATAATAAATAACAAATATTAAATTTTAATTTTTTTATTTATTAATTTATAATTTTATATTTGAAATTTAATAATTTTTTTATTGTTTTGATATTTATATTGTTATCAATTCTTTTGCTATTAAATTAATTCTTATTAATTTATTTCATTTTTGTGTAATTATTGAATATTTTATCTATTATAATTTAACTAAAATTGTGAATAGTTTTTTTTAAAAATAAAAAATATAGTATCATAAACTATTTTAAAAATCATTAAATAAAAGTTTTTATGATTATAATTATAATTATTATATTTTCTAACAAATAGTGCAAAATTAAAAAAAATTCACGACTGCAGTGACCTCGATGACCGCAATGATCTTCGTTATATTCGAAAACATGATAAATGTGATGCGATCGAAAACGTGATCGTGATCGCTATTTAAATCCCTGGCTTGCATTGCTCTATGGAACTGAGTGTTGGGCTGTTAAGAAACAACATGAGAAGAAAATGAACGTAGCGGAGATAAGGATGCTTAGATGGATGTGTGGTAAGATTAAAAGAGACAAAATAAAAAAAGAAGAGATTCGAGAAAAATTAGAAGCAGTCCAAATTGAGGAGAAGATGAGAGAGGGTCGTTTGCGATGGTTTAAACATGTAAAACATATGTCTAGCTATGCACCGATAGAGATCAAAACCTTTAGAGGAAGACCACGAAAGACAAGGAAGCAAATAATAAAAAACGATATGATGGTTAAGGAATTAGATGAAAAGGTTGTTGATAGAAATGAGTGGTGCGAGAATATTAAAACTAAAACCTAACTTGATTCCCTTATCTGATCTTTTAAACAGCCGACCCCAGAGTATGAGATATAAGGTTTAGTATGTTATTGTTGTTGTATTCACTACAAGTGTTAACTATCAGGATTTAAACTCAAAAAGTCAAGCTCATCAGCATAGATTTTACTTAATTGAACAGACATCAACACTGAGAGCACATAATATATAACAAGTCATATTAATAACTTTAGATAAATCATGGAAAAAGAACTAATAACAATTGAATAAGTTTTGCAATAATTCAACTTTAGCATACCCTGGTTGGGAACTGATACTATGGCATCTCTGAAACGAAAAGCAAAAGTGAGTCCATCTGCTGACCCATCCTTGTAACCAACACCATCAACTTTCATGCTTGTATGAAAAAATTAAGCATGAGGCGAATTTAATAGGCAAATTATAATAGTTATAATGGTAAAAAAAAAGTGCTAGCAATGGTACATAACATTAAGAATCTAACCTAAAACCAACTAAAATATAAAGCCACGGCAAACTCAAGACTTAACTTATGTGGGATAAAACCACAAAATATTCCCTTCATAAATAACACAATGCCAACAAACATACCTAACATGTGGACAAAAGCATAAGGGGCAACAAATGACGATGACAATGAACCACGAAACAAACTTGAACACTAATACTATGTTAAGCATCCAACCCAAAACCAATTAGTTATAGGTGAAGTGGCCCAACTTGAAAGTAAAGCACAACAAACACAAGACTTAACTGATGTGGGATGAAACTGCTTAAAGAAATAATACCACAATCTGTGGCCTATACAAGAGGAAAATAGAAGAATGATAACCATTTTCAATTACTTATTTATTCATTGCTGCAATTATGGTGAAAATGTATTTCACATTAGCTATAATTGCAATTATGTTAATCAACAACTTGCAATTGGATAAATGATTACAATTTACAACTGAAGCACGTAGGCTGAACTATTAATCCTAAAACGGTAGGTCAGTAACAACAAAAGGACAGCACCCAAGCTACATGAAGATTGCTGCTTTTCAGCTACCTTATCTTTTATTTTGGAAGTGATGACTCCCTGCAGTGGAAAAGTTCAGACGAAGGGAAGGGGAAGAAAGCAGGGATAATGCAATGGCATACTTACACCATGAGCAATACATTAAGGAGTAAATACTAACTTAAATACTCTCTTAACTCATCACAGTTGATATGGAATAGTATCACATACTCTTCTATCTTCTACTATTACTCAACAATTCACACGTACACAATGCTCTTTGGCAATGCAGGATACTGTAATATGCCTTTCTCTTGATTATTAAGAATAATTTACACACACAACAAAAGATAAATGCTAACCTTGGGGAGTAAACTACAATTTATATACTCCTAATGCATTGCACATTAGCAATAAGTTAATAATGATAAAAACAACAATGATAATCATATTGTGGAAAATCTGTCTTTCGAACAACTATTCTTACTAACTCATGCAAGGAATGTGAACAGATCCATTATTTATTCTTTACTAAATTCCAGTTGGATTTTGTTTGAACATACAAGTAAATAATTCTCAAGAAAAGATGCAAAACCACAAATCCTATCAAGTGACTCAATGAAAAGGGAGGAAAGAACTGTCACTTCATGCGGCTGGAGTCTGGACGCTACATTGCCATCCACAACCATGTCCACAATTTATGCTACAGTGACATGATGTCACATCCAAACTCTGATGTCTAGAATCCAAAATTTAAATGGCAATTCCAAATTCCTCCAACACCAAGATCGTCAACATTCACAATCTCTCTCTTTCCAATCAATATCATACAAAGATTATAAATAGGCGTTAGTTTCAGTAATCTGCTAAATATTGTTGAAGCAGTTACTCTTTCTCACCCCTTCCTAAACATAAGAGATATATATGGGAGCAACCACCTTCCTCCCCCACACCCCCATCCCCCCCCCCCCCCCCCAAAAAAAAATAAAATAAAATAAAACATTAACTCAAACATGAAAATATATTAGCAAGGTAGAGATGAACATTGGAAACTATTATTGAATCCTTACTTTTTCTTTTCCTCCAAGTATCATCACAAGAGACTCTAGTTACTTGCCTCTTTTCTTTTGTAGGAACCTTGCTTGCAAGCCTGGCGGTTTGTACAGCAGCATCTGCCAATGCAGCCTCAGGGGTTGCCCGAAGAATCTCACATGAGTTGTTGGCATTCACTCTGTAGCACATAATTCAAGACAAATTGTAAATTGAAGAAATAAAAAGTAACGAAGAAATTATTGGGCCAAAACCATTGCCCAAAAGAAAATGTGTCAATAGTAAAGCACTAGAGAAGATAAATGACCTGTAAAACTGTCAAGGAAAAGCCAATACTGTAGCCTCCAGTAACTTGAGATGCTTCAGAATCAAGGTTTAAATCTTTTGACATTGACTTGGGTGTGATCGTGTCACTTTGTAGGGAAGATTTCGCCTCAATAAGCTCTCCAACAACAACATGATTCTCTGATCAATTACAGCTAAGAAATTTAGTTTCAATTTTTAATTTAAGAGTAAACTAAATAGGAAGAAAGTAAGAGGTTGTTTGATAAACTGAACAAATTCAACATTGAATGTTAAGTATTGAATTTATGATATAAAAGTTGTTTGGCATGCTCCAGAAAATTAAATGGCTAGCAGATTTTTAGTAATCTTTTATAAAAGAAAGATATAGTTTTATAATGATTTTCAATTGGTTAAAATTAAAAGGAAATAATAAATAGTTAAAAAGAAAGAATATATGATTAATGCAATGCAATTAAATAATTTTTTTAAAATAAAATTACTTAATACATTAAGTAGCTAAAAGCTACTTGGCATTTTCAACACTTTTTGATTGAAAATCTTCCATTAAGTGATCTCTAAAAATGATTTATCAAATGCATTGAAAAAATAAAATCATTAAAAATTTTAATTTTCAATAATTTATCAAATACACTCTGAAGAGGAATTAAAAAAAAAAAGTCAAAGTCTCACCAAATATCCGAACAACAGAATCCAAAATTGAATCAAGAAGCCCTTTTGCAGCAGCCTGTGCTTTTCCTGTAGGAGCCATCACAGGCGAGACAGGGTTCACTGCCAACAGAGTCCCTGCCAATGATATCCCATTCTGGCGCTTCTGTTTCGGTAACTGGTAGCCTTCTAACTGTCCCTTCATAAAGTGGAGACTGGTAGTACCAGTTCGAGTGACTTTATCAATTCCAGACCTTGAAGAATTAATGAATTCTGTATGGGCTTTAATCTTTGATGTGATAATCTCATGAATTGTGGGCCTCAGTCGTTGGCTGTTACATAGATTTTGGCAAGTAAAAATCCATAAATAGATAAATCATCATGAAGACAAGTAATAGTAAGAGCAGCATCAAAAAAGAAATACATGAGTATTTAAAGTTATCATGCCATTAGTTTGTTAAATACTAACAGTTCTTATAAAGGGATAAAAAAAAAGGTTCAAGACTATTTTTCACCATGTTCATCACAAATTTAATTTAAAATTTTAAATACTCATGACATGGTTAATCACCATGTTCATCACATAAATACATGAACTTAAATATTCATGTATCTCAAAATATCATCAAGACAAAGGAAAATTAAGGCATGTTAGACTAGTTGTACAAAACCATTTTCACAATTCTATTGAAAGCACCAAGGAAAGAATATAAGTTAAATTAAAACATGCTATTACATAAGCAAAGCAACAAACCATATTACAGCACCAGCTGCTGCTACTTTATGAAGCAAGCAGAGGCACTCCACCAGAGTTTGCACATACTTCACATGAACTAGAGCATCACTCTTTTTAATTGTTTCCTATATCACCAAAAAGTGAAAAAAAAATACACTGCTTGAATGCCAAAGGTCAGAACAATTAATAAAGTCAACATGATGAGATGTGATAATATTAAGTGAAGTATTCGCACAACAAATTCATCAGGAGTGGAATTCAATAGCCACAATGGGATTTGTTGGGATACGATTTTGACATCCTTTCCATCACCACCGTTAAGCCTTTCGTCATGTGGCTCCAAAGAACCATCCTCGTCGAGGCCATCATATGATGAACTGAAAAGAAAAAGGTAAGATACAAATTTAGACAACTGCACAAAGTGGGAAATATATTATTTATAAAAGAAAATAAAAATTAAGAAAAACCCTAATGCAGAAATTAAAAACAAAAAGAACCCTAATGACTTTCTGTGTATCACAAAACCAAGTATAGGCTTCGGATGATTTTCATGATAAAAACTTAGAAACAACGAGAAAATATTGATACTCATGGAGCAAATGTAAATGACAGGATCCATAAGAAGATACCATCATAACTGTTAAAGCACACAGATTATATGATGTTTGAAAATCATAAAATGCTTTTAGAAGAACACCTAAACAGACAACAAAAAAAACTTAAAAATTAATTTAATTTTTACAATGTAAGACAAGGAAAAGTCAGGAATACATCTAGAAAAATATTATAAAAACAAATGAACCATCCAGACTTACCCTCCATCAATGGAACCTGACCTGTATGATCCATCTACAAGTCCCTGACTGCCAAACTGACTATCACCTCTCACTGACCTGGTTCTTCTAGACACAGGTTGTGAAGTATTTGCTGTAAATGCAACAGCTGTGGTTGTTGGCACTTCATCATCCTTTTCATGCATGCTTAAAGCAACTGAGCTGCAGAATTTCATCAGCTTAATGACAGAGATTTTTGTAAAAGGGAAAGCTTTCCAGAAAATGCTTTTTATTGGGATAAATAAAATGCAGAAAGCATATAGAATCAGATAAGATATCTCCTTATTTCCAATTCTACATGAATAGATGAGATGATGAATCACAAAAAGAATATGACATAGAAAGTTAAGACCCAAATAGATAGAAAATACCTGTATTCACCCTTATTGTAAAGATGTGCATGCAAATCCTCCAAAACTTTATAGAACAGAACACCTCGCAACTTTGTCAGTTCAGATCGAACATCTTGGAGAGCACCAACCTAGATTATTTTAAGTTAGTATGTTTAAATCAGGCAGAACATCTAAAAGCTCTCTACATACTTTCAATTTCACAAAACTAAAGCTGATGTAGAAAAAGCTGAACTATTTATAAGTGTAAGATTTCTTTAAAACTGCAGAAGATGGAGTTTAGCAGCAGCCAAAATGGTGTTCAACATGAAATGGTTATACCAATAAGAATTGCAGCAATTTTGAGATAGTGCACCACTTGATTGGGCTTTCAGAAGTATTTTTTCTTACATTTTAATTTCATTTAGAACATTAATAACTGAGATGAAGATGGTAGAAATGACAGACAATAGTTGTATAAAGCCTCTTCAATTGTTAGATCAACACCTTAACAATTAATTTGCACAAAAACTTAAGTTGACTAAAAATGGCATAATGACTGTTTCAGTAAAAGTGCATGAAATTCCTTAATAGTTTGTATGCAATTTCAAATTAAGCCTTCTAGTTAAGACAGTTGCAATGTTAACATCAAAATTATCTGTTAAACAATGTTTTGACCTTCTACTAACAAGATTAGTTAGTGTGCACAAACTGTACAAACTATCCCAAATCTATGCTGTTTCTTTTCCACTTTTTGGCCTATTTTCCTTTCCCTTCAATTGCTCTTTATCACCCTATCACTGTCTTCTTCACTCTCTTTCTTCTCATTTTGTCCATCCAAAAAGCACATAGAAACTCTATTCCTAGCCATTCAGACACATAAGCCAAATTTGGATCTCAAACACAGTGCTCTAAAGGAAAATCAAACAATCATGATCTATACATCTATATTCTCCACTCACAGGTTACAAGCATAGTGTCAATGAAAGACAGGATATTAAAAGCAATAAACTTTTGTGTTTGAATTGATTTTCCGTTTTGGGTTTTCATGCTTAAGTTTTGTCTTTTGTAGCTAGGTTGCCTATTTGCTACATTAAAACCTCTGTTTTATGAACATATGAAGTAAGACACATGTTCAAAGTTCCATTTGGATTAATAAAATTGCAAATTAACATAACATAGACTAAGGCTTCTAGCTTTTAATTGACATGGCTTCCATCTTTGTTTTTCTTTTATTTATTTATGAACCTGTTGATCCTTTTTTTGAAACATGAACCTGTTGATTAATTGCATGTTGAGGGTAAAACTGTTTAACAGATTTAATTTGGAGGTTAACCTCTTCACTTTCTAAACCATGGGATTCAACTTGAAACTACGTCAAAATAATAAGGGTTTTTTGTGCACTTTTGCCAGATATTTAACAAACCCATTACACTAGGCCTTAGCCATAATTGTGAGATAAATATGGCCATTTAACTTGGGAGGGCCAACATCTTTAAGATAGGCAACTGATCTATTTATGCGAAAGCAACAAGTTACTTTAAAAGATAAAAATGTAAGAGGGGCTGAAACAAGAAGTTGAACAATTGTGATAACATTTTAATCCAGTGCCAATCTAATCTAGGAATCCGCAGCAGTATGAGCCAAACCAAAGTTTCACCTAAATAAAGCCAAGAATAAAAAATATATACACTGCTTCCAGCATTTAATAAATTACCGTTTGGAGGCCCTCTCGCTCAAGCATTAATGTTGACTGAACATGCAATTGAAGTGCAGCATAAAATTGCTTTTCAGAAATGAGCTTCTCGATATGAGCAGGAACCTGATCCACATTACAAACAAACAAGGTGATTTATCAGATTTACTGGATTTATTGCAGGAACAGAGGAAAGCATCGATGGAAACGAAGTGCCAAATTCTAATAAAGATGAAGCATATAAATACTATAAAATATCATTTGAATGGTAAAAAAATGATGAACAAACCTTAGCTATGCCCTCAATCTGATCTAACAAGGAGATTATGTGACGCAAAGTAACAGATCGATACCACAACTGATGCAATTGTTTATTGCGTGCACCAAGACGTTTCTTGGCCTCAGCCAAATCAACCTTTAAGACACCAATACTTTCAGTAGATTCACTGAACAACCGCAAGATCTGAAGAGGAAGGAACAGTTAGTAATAAAAAATGTAAAGCTCACTTTCCTCTTCCCATTTCAACAAAGAAGAAGGAAAAGGAAAAGAGGAAATGACACTTAAATGATGATGGCACCTCATGAAAGTTACCATACCAGAGATAATTAGTTCCGATGGCAAATTTATTTATTTATTTATTTAGTTTGCCTGACCTGTTTGTTCAGACATATAATTGTATCGACCATTCAAGCTCATCAAACTCTGTCTATTATTTATCATGTAATAGGATTTTTAACCATGAATGTCCAATGGATATCAGATTGATAGAGGGCTCTCTAACACAGGATTGATTATCAAAGGCATAATTAGAGATTGAAATACTCAATCAAGGGGCATAGTATATATTTCTATTAGATGTCCAAAATAAGTGTCTTGATTTAAAATTCAAAATGTTATTCTTTTACTTTTGCGCGTCATCTAAATTTCAAATCTAAAATAGAAAAACACTCCCTCTTCTCAAATAGTTAGCTCACCTTTAGACTTCCCACTTTTTACGGGGGCATCATGTATCGTACTCACATTGGCCTTAAAATTGCATTCATTTTCAAAACTTTCCATAGCAAATTTTTGCACATAAAATAGAAAAGAAGCCATTATGGCTAATTTTGTAAAATTAATGTGAGAAAACACTTATTTACAGCTAGTTGTAATCTTGTAATCTGTATATTTATATTTGTATCTCTAGAATTAAGTATTTATATCCCTAAAATTAAGGATAGAAAATTAGGATAGACAATCTCTCAATTATAGGATCAGTTTTAGAAAGATTTAGTTTTTAGTTTATCCACTAGTTAGTTGTATATAAACCTCAGGTACTTGTATAATTCTTGATGAGCAGTTTTTCAATATAGATTCAGTTTTCACACAATTTTATTTCTTAGTTTTTCCACATTGTATCAGAGCGTTAGACTCTTCTTGGGAAGAAAATTTTTCAGCCTTCATTACTGAATTCTATTTCAGGCCTTCATAGCCAAATTTCGTTAAATCTTTCAGTCTTATATTTTCCTTCTTTGGCCTTCATTGCCTAGAATCATCTCTGGTTAAACTTTTACCATCAAGACTCATTTCAATCCTGAGAAAAATAACCATGCCAGAGATAGCAGAATCTGCCACTACTACCCGATTTGAGAAAGTGACAATTGGTAAAACCACCGGAGTACTACAGAAGTCTCAGAAACAAAGAGAATTGGACAGAAAAGAGATTAAGAAACTACGAAGCCTATTGAAAACTCTTGAAAAGCCTACTGGGGTATGTTCTTTGGGTAAAGTCTCTAGTTCAAATAAAGCTTCTAGTTCTCATGGATTAAATGTCTCAATTAAACCTATTACGAGTTCTTGGGCATTGATTCAGGAGCCACAAACCATATGACACATTCCTCACAAAAGTTTAGTACATATACCCTATGTCTTAGTAATAAGAAAATTCTTGTTGCAAATGGTTCACTTACTGTAGTGGCAGGATTAAGAGATGTTCAAATTAATTCCTCGTTTGTTCTTAAAAATGTTCTTCATGTTCTCGGATTGTCTACTAATCTGATATCTATACAAAAACTTACCAGAGACATGAACTACAAAGTAACTTTTTATCCCTCCTATTGTGAATTTCGGGACCTGAGTTCGAGGAAGAGGATTTGACTTGCTAAGGAGAAGAATGGACTATACTATCTTCAAACATCAAACCACAAGTAATATCAAGAATAGTTTACCTTTGTCATTTCTTTCTGAAAAATCTCCCAACAAAGACAAATCTAGCTTTATCATTTTCGTCTTGGATATTTTTCTTTTGGAACTTTGCCGAAAATTTTCATTGGGATGTTTGTGAACTTGCAAAGCATAAAAGTGTGTCGTTTCCAGTTAGCCATAAATGAAGTTCTACTCCTTTTTTACTTGATTCATAGTGACATATGGGGTCCCTCTACAATTCCTAATATTTCTGGTGCAAGGTGGTTTGTTTCTTTCATAGATGATTGCACCAAGGTCTCTTGGATATTTTTACTTAAATCCAAATCAGATGTGAATAGTATGTTTTTAAGCTTCCAAAACATGATCCAAAATCAATTTAGAGTGAAAATCAAGATATTTAGGTTTAATAATGCAAGAGACTATTTCAACCAGAGTCTATCTACCTATTTCCAAAGGGAAGGGATTATCCATGAGTTATCTTGTGTTAATACTCCACAGCAGAATGAAATGGCAGAGAGGAACAACAACCATTTACTAGCCACAACCCGAGCTTTACTTTTTCAAACAAATGTACCCAAATCCTACTTGAGGGATGCTGTTCTCACTGCCACACACGTTATAAATAGGTTACCAAAAACCTGATCCTAACTCTGAAAATGAGGTAACTACAGTCGTTGACTCTGTCTCTCAAAATGAGCATGAAACTCCAAAAACTATAACTAGTGATTATGATCTACCTATTGCCGTTAGGAAAGGAACTAGAGAATGTACTAAGCATCCATTATACCCAATCTCTAATTTTGTGTCATTTAAAAAATTTTCACCATCCCACAAAAATTTCCTTGTGAGCCTAAACACTATTTCTATTCCAACTACATTATCTGAGGCATTATCCAATGAGAAATGGAGGCAAGCCATGAAAATAGAAATGGAGGCCTTAAAGAAAAATAAGACATGAGAACTGGTAGAGTTACCAAAAGGAAAAAATTCAGTTGGGTGTAAATGGGTTTTCATTGTAAAATACAAGGCGGGTGGTACTATTGAAAGGTATAAAGCCAGGTTGGTGGTTAAGGGCTACACTCAAACTTATGGAGTGGATTATCAGGAAACTTTTACTTCAATTGCCAAGATAAATACAGTTAGGATTTTGTTATCATTGACTGCAAATTACAATTGGCAGCTTCAACAATTTGATGTAAAGAATGCTTTTCTATATAATTTGATTCAAATTACATGGCGATTTGGAAAAAGAAATATATATGAAGGTTCCATCGGGATTTGGAGGTCATCTAGAAGCAAACAAAGTATGCAAGCTGAAAAAGGCTTTATATGGCCTTAAACAATCTCCCAAGGCTTGGTTCGGGAGATTTGCCAAAGTGATGTTGGCAATGGGACCTAAGCAGAGTCAAGGAGATCACACATTATTTATCAAGCAATCTGATTCAAAGAGAGTCACAATACTGTTAGTGTATGTTGATGATATAATTGTAACTAGAGATGATGAAAAAGAGAGAGAATCTCTAAAACAATGTTTGACTATAGAATTTGAGATAAAAGAGCTAGGGAGATTGAAGTACTTCCTAGGAATTGAAGTAGCTCACTCACGGCATGATATTTTCATCTCACAACAGAAATATGTAATGGATCTTTTGAAGGAAACTGGGAAGCTCACGTGTAAACCTGCAAATACCTCTATAGATCCTAATCATAAACTTAGAAAAGCTAATGAAGATCCTGCTGTCAATAGAGAGATGTACCAAAGATTAGTTGGAAGACTCATTTATCTCTCACATAGTAGACCTAATATAACATATGCTATGAATGTGATAAGTCAATTTATGCATACTCTTAAAGAAGTGCACCTACAGGTTGTTTACCGTATATTGCACTATTTGAAGGCCAATATTGGGAGAGGTATCTTATTCAAAAGAAATTCGGGGCTGGTTCTAAAAGCATATACAGAGGCGAATTATATAGGTTCAGTAACTAATAAAAGATCCACCTCAGGCTATTGCACTTTCCTAAATGATAATCTTGTGACTTGGAGGAGTAAAAAACAGAATGTGGTGTCAAGATCAAGTGCTGAAACAAAGTTCAGAGTAATGGCTCAAGGAATTTGTGAACTACTATGGTTAAAGATTATCCTAGAAGACTTGAAAATCAAGTGGGATGGACCAATGAGACTCTACTATGATAACAAGTCCACAATAAACATTGCACACAATCTTGTGCAACATGACATAACAAAACACATTGAAGTAGACCAACATTTTATAAAGGAGAAACTAGACGATGGGTTGATTTGTAATCATATATATCAACCAAGGGTCAACTTGCAAATGTGTTGACTAAAAGTCTCAGCAGTGCAACATTTCAAGAAATTATTTTCAAGCTTAAGGGGAGTGTGGAAAAATACAACTAGTTGTAATCTTGTAATCTGTATATTTATATTTGTATCTCTAGAATTAAGTATTTGTGTCCTAGAATTAAGGACATAAAAATATGATAGACAATCTCTCAATTATAGAATCAGTTTTAGGAAGATTTAATTTTCTAGTTTACCCACAAGTTAGTTGTATGTAAACCTAAAGTGCTTGTATAATTCTTGATAAGCAATTTTTCAATATACATTCAGCTTTCCACACAGCTTTATTTCTCAATTTTTCCACAATTAACAAAGCATTCCTTGTCCTCTCAAAGTGGACAAATATTGTGGGAACAAAAGGATGTGAAAATTTTATGGAATAGAGGAGAAATGTTTTGGAGAGGGCATTTTTTAGAATATAATAAATTAAATCATATCAAAATAATTAGTCCATCACCAAAAAATTTTGAAGTGTCAAATGGGACAACAATTGTAGGCCAGAGGAATAACACAAATGGTCAAGAGTCCATAAAAATAAGAACTAGCAAAGACCATAATTTGGAAGAAAAAAACACATAAAAATATCATCCAATAGGGATGGTGATTGCAACTTTTTTCTTCCTAGTATCAGTAGGAATCATACGATTCAAGTACAAGAACCATATATGAGATACCAAAAAAAGAAAAATCTCTCTTTAGTTAATAGCATTAGAAACATATCTATCTATGCTATATGTAAATGTGGTTTGAGGGGTGTGAAATGTTGATTACCGTTTTACTTTTAATTGAATTTCAATAATGCTATTTTAATAGTACTATTCAAAACAGTTTTATTAATTAATAGAGTTCTTACCTTATTAGACTAAAACAACATTAAACGAAGTGAGAAATCTAGATAATGATTGTCAGAGTTAATAATTTTAATAGAATTTTATTGTTCTAAAATAACTTGTAAATATTATTGTTTTCATTAAAATAATTAAGATAAGATAATATGGTTCATGTGCAACTAAGTAAAGATAATATCAATGAAAGACATAGAATTCCATCAATAGAGAAACAAGAGAATATAATTTTAAAAAATACAAAAATACTTGAATTATATGCTTGAGTCTATCTATTTATAACTCAGCAACCATCCCTCTTAAACCAGAAACCATGACACAATGAAACATCTGTTTGTAGAGTGCCACCCTCAAACACACAACTGTGTCAGCATATAGCTATTGGACTTATCAATCTAGGTGAAGCCTAACACTAATATTCTCCATGAACCTGAAAGTAAACTAACTGATCAATCATAGCATGCAAGTCATTATGCATATGGCACCAGTTAAGAAATAAAAAATTATAGGTTTTCACAACAACATTTTCCACCATAAGTACGTTAAGGAAATTTCAATGAGAGAGAAAAGCACTAGGGAGGCAGATAAATATGCCACAGAACAATCCAAGGAAACCTTACCAGCAGCTACAACCAACAGTACCAAGACATGACCTCAAATGGTTGCCCCACGCAAAAGCCATCACTAACACCCCAAGCTTTTTGGCCATAAAGCAACAAACAAATCCGCCTATCAATTTTGCATCATGCCACATGTCTATAAGTCCTAATACACTAATATGGCAACCAACCAAATAAAGGCACTAATCAACCTAACCGTTGTATCCAGGAACCCATGGAGAATAAGTCCAGAAAGATGAATTCTGCATGCTACAACACATATTGCTTCAAAAACAAACTCTCATTGAATCCCAATAGTAGACACCATTAAATGTAAGACGCACTCCTAAACTTTTTCAGAGTGTAAGCTCATGGGGACCTCTTACAAGGATAATCTTCATTTAAACCTCATTTTTTAGCAAAAGAAGAAACATAAAAATAATTCTCAAAATTCTGTTAACTTTAACAAAATAAATATCAATAGCAGGGTCACTCAGTCTTCTATGATGTTTTATAATATTTTCAGTGTCACCATGTCTAATAGTAAGTTATTTATTTATATGTAATTTGCAAACAAAATTAGAATCAAAATCACATCTATGATATGAAACTAAAAAGAACAATGTTCCATATTCCCTATCCAAGTGTGGACCCAACATCAACAGAAAAAGGTTACAGAGACAAATATGAGCACAGGATACGTATGCTAAACGAAATAACCACCAGAAATGGTTTTTGAAACAAATTAATTTGCAATTTTACCAAAACAAGCCATTACTAGAAAACCAAGAAAACAGAAACTTGAGAAGTATACTGTACAAAAATCTAGCTTGGAAAGAAGCTATTAAAGAACCTGAGAATAATTTTGAATTGCTTTGTTGAAGCCACCGTGATAAGCATGCACAACTTCATCTACAACATCCTCAACAACATCACTTTGCTCCTTTAAAATCTGGACCTCGCCTTCACGATCTTTTGATGTCAGGATACGGACAACATGAGGCAGTGAATCAAAACGTGCAGTCGCCCAACTCTCATCTATTCTTGAAAGCTCATCCCTTAAATACTGCATTTGATCATAAGCAAACAGAAGAAGAAAAATGAGAAAAATCCTAAAACACATAAGTTAATCTAAGAAACACAGCAGTTTTCCAAAAATTATCAAATTGTTCACCATAAATGGGTGCTTGATAACAGCAAACTAAGATGCCCACAAATCAACAGAATAATACCATCCAAATAAAGCATCCTATTCTAAAACATAGTAATAATAATACAGTTGCACTCCACCAGCCTCAAGATTATTGCCAAAACTTGCAATAAATTACAATACCATTTTGTTGTTGCTTTTATTACTTGCTTTTTACTTCTGTAAGCAAAACAAAAAAAGGTTGTTTGAATACAAAAAGAGTTTTTTTTTTTTTTTTGAATAATTAAATATTATAGTATTATAATTTTTCCAGGAGAACAAAACACTTGAATTTTACATGCATATAAAATAACTATATTAGAATTGGAATTATATTTTAGTCATTGATTCATTATTAATCAATTACAGTTTTGGTTTTAGGCAATTTTTACACGCAAAAAGCAGATAGCAAAAACAAAGTAGCAAAAGCAACAACTGAACATAGCCTAAATCTTAGGATCAGAAGAAGAGTGAATTAAGCGTACTTCTTTATCAGGAGGAATGGGAAATCCATCAAAAATCCCCATCTCAAAAAGTTTCACTTCTCCCACGTTATAAAACTCGACAAACAGCACAAACTCAACTCATCAGAGCAAAGCCCTTAGTCACACCTGAAAAGGAAATTTTGTGGGAAAAAATTAAAAATAAATATTTTATTTATTACTAGCTAAGTTCTTAGAGCTCAGTGAAAACAGAAAAGGAAAGTTGAAAACCAGAGACAAAAAAAAAATAAAAGTTGAAAATCGAGAGAAACACCTTCAAATCCAGCACTCTGGGCACAGTAATAGAAGAATTTTTAAGCAATGCAAACTTAATTAAAAGCTCCAAATAAATTTAAAAATATTGAAAGAAAGCGAAATTTTCAACACGAAAAATTAAGTGATTTAAAGAAATAAAAACAGATTATAACATTTTTTTCAGAATTAAATAAAATCTTTAGCGCCAAAACGACATCGTTTCTTCTCACAATGAACCAGAAGAAGATGCGAATTGGAACCGTGAATCAAAGAAAGAACACAAAGATAGAGTGAGTTTCGTTCATTTCTTTAGATACATGCCAAAACGTTATCGTTTTAAAGCGCGTGCAGCGTTTGACGCGCTGAGCTCGCTTAAAACTAAGATCTCTTCAATGGCAGAAGCGGATATGTCAAAATCTTGGAATAGAAGAAAAATGAAAAAGAGCAAGAGCGATAATCGGAGCCGTGGAATATTGAATTTATTTTATTTTATTTTAAAATGGATCACACGGTCTTAAAAAGGGTCGGGTCGGATATTTGACTAAAAGGGTAAAGAAAAAATGTTAAAAGGGGGATTATAAACTTTGATTGGATTTAATTGATCTTTCTAGCTTGCCTATTTTAATTAATTTATTAAATTATTTCTTATTTTTTTAAGCTCTGGGTTACGAGAAATTGAAAATGACGTCCGGCCAAAGTATGTTATTAAATTATATATATATATATGCAAACCATTGTTTAAGATTAAAACTCATATTCTTAAGATAATTTTATGGATATTAATTTTAGAAACGATCCAATTTAGATTTTTTAAATTCTAAAAAAAATGTACAATCCTTAAAAGTTGAGATGTTTGATCGCATTTTCAATTGAAAAAACAAATCAATTTAATTTTAGGATAAATCATAAAAAAAATTCTTTCTAAAATTAAAAATGATATAAATTAATTTTATAGTTTAAGTGGAAAAAAAAAGTATGTATCTCTCTTTACTAATTTATTAGATCTTACATAAATAAATCTATTTGAATTAATCCAAAAAAAAAATTTATTAAGTAAATTTCAAGAACTCTATGATTAAATAAAAATAATAATAATTTTTATTAATTTTGAAGTTAAAAATCATTTATCTTTTGTTCTTTCTCTTATTTTTATTATTTTTTTATTTCTTAAATTTTCATTTTTTCACCTTCAAAATATCATGTATATTATATTTTTTCACGATGTTGAATTAAAAATTAATTTAAAAAAATCGGGTGATAGTAAAAGGGTCAATTTTAAATTTCACGAACAAATTTATTTGACCTCTAAGCACATTATTTTTTTATAATTTATCCTTAATTCTTAATATATAGTTTGATTGTATTTTCATCATTTTTTTTTTTGGCTTTTACTTGTTCAAGAAATGTTAAAAAGTAAACAGTGAAATTATATTTGATTAACAATAAGCAAAAAGTTAAAACATAACTATTTAACATATAGATGTAATTATTTTATGTAAAAGGAAAAATAAAATTATGCACTTTGCTGCAAGATAGGTGTTTTTTTTTTTTTTTCTTAAATTTGATATTATTTTTTTAATACTACGACATAAAAAATAATAATTTATAACAAAAGTAATAATCATAAAAATAATATTTTATAAAAATAGTAACACAAAAAATAATAATTATTAATAACATGTGCTAACACATAATAAAACAAAAAATAATAACACTAAAAAAAAAAGTAATAATACATAACAAAAAGCTACAATTCATGAAAATAGTAACCCACAAAAAGGGTTCAGAGAACTAGCAAGAACAATAAGAGTGAAAATCGCAATATACTTTTGATATTAAAGAAAAAATGGCACCATCGGTCATATGCGTGCAATCATTACCTGGAGATATTTTTATAACAAACAACAGTATTTACAATATTCAAGCTTCTTTTTCAATTCAAATACTATCAAGTTAAAGCCCACCTGTATCACTTTCTCCCTTGCCCTCAGTTCCTTCCAACCATTGTTCTAATTTAGCTTCTTTATCAGCCTTGAAATCATCATAGTTTTCGGACACGAACGATAATTTGTGACTTGACAGTTTGACATCATCTTCAGATTCTACCTTTTCTTCTTCTTCATGGAGTTCATCTACCATTTGACTGAATAATGGTAACTCATCAGCTTCCGTATCAGGAATTGAACCAGTGCTGGCAGATGCAACTGATAATGGTGAAGCCGGATGTGGATGCGGAATCCAGGGCTCGGTTTGTATCTGTTCCCCGGACTCAAGTTGTGGCCTCTTAAAATTGCTTGCCTTTTGTTTCACTGACTTGATTACAGTTGAAAAATAATAACTTCCATCCTGGTGGACATTTCCAGAACCATGACCCCAAGACATTGGTCCCCGAGAGCCAGTTCTTCTCATCTGAAAGCTTGAAGCAGGACTGTGGATCGATCCTCTCTTTGGTTGTTTTGCTGACATTAACATTAGAGAATTCTTAATGTCCTTAATCATGTCATCAGCAACAGGAAAGCCACACTCCTTCATTGATCTCACCATGGTGATAGAATCTTCCAAGTCCTCTGTGTGCAAAGTTGCTTCACGAGTCTTTTTTACAACATTATTATTGAGATTAACTACATTTGGAACTGCATTTTGGATGTGCTTCTGAACATAGAAAAGACCCACCGAGGGTTCATTTGCCACTTGCTTGATCATCTCTGCCAGGGATTCAGTTATCTCCACCACAAAGCCATCCACAGTGGAGAATACATTCATCTTGTTGAAGTTGAATGACAGTTCATCACTGGTTTGTCAAAAATCACAAACTGAAATGCCTATCAAAGGGGATATTTTAAAAGAAAAAAGAGATTTAAAAAACGTGGCCAAAATATACGGAAATTCATATTTTATTTAGAGGAAAAATTGCCAATGTAGTTTCTAACAATTAGTTGTACATTTCATCAAATAAAATACAAAGTAAAAGAAAAATGACCTATCTAAGTATTGAATTTAACCAAAATCGTCATTTTTTTCAAATGGCAAATTTCATTATATTCCCTAAGAAAGTGATGTAAACAGAAACAACTACAATAATATTGATCTTCAGTTTGAACAAAGACACATCATCACTCACACACCTTATTCATGGCTGCTAGTGGGTTTGCCTTTCGAACTATGCACTGTTGTACAGGCAAAAAACAAAAAAAGAAAAACCTCGACCCAAAGGATCTAGTTAAGTTTCTGTAGCCTTATTCCCACACAATGTTTCTTGGATAATTCAAAACCCGAAAAAGAAAATTATAGAGTAGAAAGATTTTGAATAATAGGATTTAATTTCACAAATATTTCTTTAAGCAACATTTTTCTTCTTATAAGATTGAGCTAAACAGTTTCACCCTAAAAAAACCAGTCAAAATAAGCATAAATTCTTCTGAATCATAGCCAGGCATCTTCAATTAAGCAAAAACAAAAACAACCCATTAAACTAAACCAAAAAAAAAAAAAAATCAAGCATTTAAAACAACACCCACATCAAAACATCACAAAATAACAAAAACCCAGAAATCAAAATGTGTTTTTGACTTCAATTTATTCAATTAAAGCAATTTAATCAATAATTAAAAAGGGAAATTACTTACCAAAAACCGCTAGATAAACAGTTAAATATACCAACAAAGAAAAACGATCTTTAGGCTCTTGATCAAAAGTAGAAAGAGTCAAGCTTCAAACTTGGAGAGTAAAGAAGCCTCTTGCTTTTTTTTTCCTCCAACCTTTTTTCTATGTTTTCCCTGCCTCTTATCTCTGTCGTGCTTTTTTTTCTTTTATTATTTAGTTTATCAGATTCGTAGCCTTTTGTGTTGTTTATGGAATTGTTTTTCAAACTCTGCAAATCTATCCTTCCTTTCTTTTTTACTTATTTATTTTAGAAGGCAAATCTAACCTTCTTCATCTCCATCTTTTATTTTTTTTGGATAAATTCCATCATGTTTTTCAGATTAAAAATTTATTTGGATGGACAAAGGTTAATTTAAATAAAATTAAAAATAACGGTAAAAATAAAATTAATTAGTGTAATAATAGATTAAAATTAATAATAAAATATAATTTAAATGTAAAAGTACGATAATAATAAGATAAATTGTAAAAAAATTATTATTAAAAATATTAATTAAAAATTATATGTATAAAAATTTTAAAGTATTTAATATTTATATAATTAATAAATAATTGATAAATATTAAAAATTTTAAATAAATAATAATTTTATTAATAAATAATTAAATTTTATTTATTAATTATTTATTAATAAAATTTCTGTTCTACTCTTGCACATTCTCAGGAGTATAAAATGTTTAAGTCAATCACTTGCCTCCACCCCTGGAATCTAAGATGGATCCACTCCTGCAGTGCAATTATAATAAATTCCGCAAAGTTTCACTTAATTCAATGCTAATTAGTACAGCATAAAGGTTATTTCATCTCTTTCTATGTCCAGAAACTCGAGCAAGAGATTAAGGGTGATATGGAAAGGCTTCGTGAAGAAAATGAAGAACTCAAAAGAAACTGTTGTGAGTCCGATGCAAAACTGAATGTTTTACGCAGAAGGATACGCCTGTCCAAAGTAAGATCTGCCAACTATAAGAAAGCATACGACAATCAACAAAACCAACTAAACAGTCTCTTAAAGAGTCTAGTAAGTCTCTTAAAACATCTCTTTAGAGCAGTTTATGTAAGCTCGGCTGTAAATCATATCTTTTTGCCTTTTGGACTGACGATAATTTTCTCATTATTGTCCTCTTTATTTGTAGGAGAATATGTCATATCTTCAACAAGAAAACACGGAGCTTAAAGCCGAAAAGGAATTCTTGATTCAGCAACTCAATCCTAACACTAAGGGTAAAAACCTTGCAAAGAAGTGGTTAAAGATTCCGCTTGAAAATAGGGTACTCAAAATTAAGGGCCGTAACTTGTTCCTCAAGATAGCCTGACCGTGAACCATTTAGGACTGTAGGAGGCTGCGGCTGCCATGTAACGGGGCCATTTGATGTGTTGCCACTTCTTTTTCTTTTAAAAGTTGACATTAGAGAAGGAAAGGGAGCAGTTGTGGTTCAAGAATTAGGCATTCTCGCTGTTTGTCTCTTCTTCTTGTTTGAATCTTTATTAAGTTGTTTTTAATAAATATAGTTTTTTAATATATCTCTCGCCTGTCTGCATTGGTAGTTCCACCTCTAACCAATCAATTGTTTTTACTTTCTTTTTGTTTCATAAATATGTAAATATACTTGCCTATTGTATATACAATACAAAATTTAGCTTGTTGACTTGGAACATTGGTCGATGTTGTTCATAATTTATACTAAACAAAAAAGACAAGTGGCATAAATTCTTTAAAAAAAAAAAAGTTTCTTAACTGAAATTTATAAAACTCTTAATTGAAAATGATTAAAATGAAAGCAAATTAAAACAAAAAAAAATAAATAATTACCATAGAATTTGTTGAATAAATATATACAAACTCAAAAATATTGAAAAAAATGCTGTTACATTTTGAGCAAATTTTGTGCTTAAGTAGAGAAATAATTATATGAAACACTTATTCTACGTCAACATATAATTTTTTTTGTTCAAAACATATCAAATAATTATTTTATTAAAAAATTAAAACACATGTGATAATTAAATAAGAAATATTAATTTTAACTTAAGTGATACGTAATAAACAAATTTTTTTTTAATAATAAAATTATGTAGCATGATTTAAATGAAAAAAAATTTTAATTAATAATTTGAGGGTCAAATTAAAACAATTCTAAAAACCAAAGATCAAAATATTCCTTTGAAAAAAAGCTAAGTAATGCCAGTGCAATTTCCTCCTTTAGAAAAATATCTACTTAAACAACTTTAGATTTTAGAATTTCCAAATTAAAGAAAATGACTTCGAAAAAAAAATCAGCCACGAACAGCGATAGCGAAGATGGAATCTTTAACTACTGGTACTCCTCTGCCGCGGTCCCACCGTCCCCCACTGCCTCGAAACCCTCAAACGCCAAACAAACCACCTCCAAATCCACCGCAGGCGGTGGTGGATCTGGCTGTCTAGCCCCATCGAAATCAACCCTTTACGTCTCTAACCTCGACTATTCTCTGACAAACTCCGACCTCCACACTCTTTTCTCCACCTTCGGCAAACTTGCCGGTGTAACCGTCCTTAAAGGTCGCGCCACCAGAAATTCGAGGGGAGTCGCCTTCATCCATTTTGTTTCCCGCGACGGCGCGCTATCGGCTGCGAGTATCATGCACGGAAAAGTACTCAACGGCAGAACCCTAGCAGCTTCCATCGCCGTTGATAACGGACGAGCCCCAGAGTTTATTAAGAAAAAGGGTTTATAAGGATAAGTCGAGGTGTTATGAATGTGGGATTAGTGGGCATTTGTCTTATGAGTGTCCAAAGAATCAGTTGGAGCCGAGGGAGTGACCATTGACGAAGAAAGGGCGGAGAGGTGGTGGCAGTGGAGAGAAGAGGGAAGATGGTGGGTATTGAGGGAGGAGAAAACGGACGGTGGAGAGGGGTTTGAGGAGGAGAATTGGGCGTCAGTAGTGGATGGGGCAGCGGAGGAGGGGTTGAGGAAAGTGGATATGGCGGAAGAAAAAAGAAAAAGAAGGTGACAAGAAAAGCGAGTTATTTCAGTGATGAAAGCGATGAGGAAGAGTGAATTTGTGGTGTAAATTTCAGAGTCGAATTTGAGGTACATTATATCTTTGTTGGTTCCATTGTCTTATGTTATGATTTGTGAGTTTTCGATATGCATTTAGTTCTAGATAATCTGATTGTTCAAAAGTATGATTTGGGCTTTAATTTGATGGTGTTAACGGTGGCGATTTGTGCATTGTTGTACCCCTAGTGTCATTTGATGTATACATGACAATTTGGTTATGAACTAATAAAACAATGGCTGCTATGGTTGCAGTTCAGCCTATAGACACCCAATTGGGTTTTGACTCCGATCAATTGGGTCTGATCCAAATGGGTAAGCTCAATGCAATTTTTATTTTGTATTATTTTTTTTTTTTTTGTATTTTATATATTTTATTATTTATTATTATTATATGTATATTTTTACTTATTTATTTATTTTTTTCTATTAATATTTATAGGTATTTTATTTATATAGTTCTATATTTATTATATATTATAATTTTTTTATTATTTTTTTTATTATTTTTTTTCTTGTAATATTTTTTTGATTTATCTTATTATATTATCTGTTAATAATTTTTTTCTCTTGTTTCGTTTATCTGATTTTTTGTATATCTGATATTATTATTATTATTATTTTTTATTTATCCTATTTTTTTAATTATCTATTATTATTATTTTTATTTGATTTTGGAGGCTAGGATTGAAAGTTGAAGAATCCCACTGTGAAGGAAAATTCAATCAAGAGAGTTTAGATTGGATTCAAAGATTGAATCCCCATTCAAGGAAGAATTGTGATTGATCAGGAACTCCTGATCAATCCCTATAAAAAAGACCTCTTGGAACAGATGCTGAACACACAGAGGAAAACAGTAAGCAAAAGCTACTGATTTAAGGGAAAAGAGGCATATAGAAGGCTAAGAAAAGGTGTAGAAGGGTTCTGGGAATTAGAAGAAATTTTTTGAAGATTTTTGGTATTTTTTTTCTGGGAATTTTTGAAAAATTTCAGATTTCGGTGAATTTTTCGACGAAGTTTGAATTTTTCGGCGAAAATTTCGGCCAACCTTGAAGTTTTCGGCAACCTACACAGTTTTCGGCAAAGAATCTCAGAAATCGGTGATCTCTCGGTGAACTTTCGACGAAATTTCATCGAAAAAACTCAGATTTCGACGACAAAACCCGAAATTCAGTGAATCTTCAACCGAAGTTCTTCGGCCTTTTAGAGAGAAGGGAGAGGAAAAAAGAAGAAGAGAGAGAGGGGAGGAGCGTTCTGTCAAAAAACAGAGGAAAGTACTTTTTATACCCTCTCAAAACGACGTCGTTTTGGCCTTAAGTAATCCAGAGGATCTGCGCGTTTTGCCAAGATCCGACCCGAGCGTCGACCCGCTTCTTGACCCGCACGTGTTTGCCCCCCTCCAAGCCGAGCCGAGCCGAGTCGCCACCCGAGCCGTTCCAGTTTTTTTTTTGAATTTTTTTTTTCATTTCTTTGTTTATTTGTTTTTTTTATTTTTTTTATTTATTAGATTAGGTTTATTTAATATTCTTTTTATTTTTATTTTTGTTTTACTTTTCTTTATTTTTTTATTTTTATTTATTTTTTTATTATTCTATTTTCTTTAAATGAAAATCAAAATTTTCAAAAAAATATTTTTAGGGAAAAGTTGAAAATATCAATTTTTCTTAAAAATAAATTTTAAAAAAAGGGTTTTTGAGGAAAAGTTGAAAGTATCAATTTTTCTTGGAAATCAAAGTTTCAAAAAAAAAAATTTTTGAGGAAGAATTGAAAGTATCAATTTTCTTTAAAAATAAATTTTCAAAAAAATATTTTTGAGAAAAGGTTGAAAGTATCAATTTTCCTTGAAAATCAAAATTTTCAAAAAATATTTTTAGGAAAAAGTTGAAAGTATCAATTTTCCTTAGAAATAAATTTTCAAAAAGAGATTTTTGAGGAAAAGTTGAAAGTATCAATTTTCCTTAAAATAAATTTCAAAAAAATATTTTGAGGAAAAGTTGAAAGTATCAATTTTCTTAAAATAAATTTCAAAAAAAATTTTTGGGAAAAGTTGAAAGTATCAATTTTCTAAATAAATTTCAAAAAATATTTTTGGGAAAAGTTGAAAGTATCAATTTTCCTCACAAGAACAATCATCTTTCTTCTTTTATTTTGATTTTTTGATTTTTTTTAAATAATCCGACGACGGAGCCTCTGCAAGTGAAACAGTAGTTTTTTTGCATACTCTTGAGGTGAGGGAATTTTCTCAATTTTTGCTAAAAGTATTAGAGTCAATTGAGAATAATTTCCAATAATTAATTACTTGGTAAAATTTTAAGGCTTTTGGATAACACAAATTTAAGCTGGTACCATCTTTTGATGGGCGTTGTGAGGGTGCTATAACCTTCCTCACACGTAACCGAACTCCGAACCCTGTTCTGGTTAGTAGACCTGAACCTATTCTTTTAGGGACCCTTAAACTTAGGTGTTCCCTGAAAGGACAGATTCTTAGGTGGCCAATCGCACCTAGATAAAAAAGATTGGTGGCGACTCCCTTAAGTCAATGTCTAGCGATAGATCCCCGGATCTAGACGTTATGACAGCTTGGCGACTCCACTGGGACTTTGAGAGTCAGGCCAGCAAATAATTTGTGTTATCCAAAAGCCTAATAAAATTGAACCTTTTTGTATATATGTGTTATTATTCATTCATGTTTATTTACTTTGTTAATTATGTCATTCATGTGCATGTGCATAACATGAGCTCTATACCCGAGCTCCGTCCCTCTAGGAGGGAGTAAAGTACCTATTGCTTTCGTGAGGTCTAATGCCTCCGCAGTGGCTAGCGAAATACTCCCACTCAAATTGAACCTTTTTCGCTTGTAGCCTGTAATGGGTGAAGATTAGGGTGCCTTACTAGTCTGTGATGGACAAGGATGTAAGGAACAATTTGAGGACCTTTAGACTTTGACCTTAAAATCGCATATAGTGAACCTTAAGAGTGACTAAGCCTATGGTAGAGCCATTTCTACCCAATGATAGATATGCCTTGAAATTAAGACATAAAAAGGGTGTTTATCTAATTATTTTGATTGTCTGACTTTATGCATCATTTTCATTATCATATGTAATGTTATGCATTAGCATCATTTTCACTTCATCCATGAAACTAACTGTATTGTTTGTCTGATTTTATGCATCTGCATTATTTTTATGACCATGTTTTAACACAATCATTTGCACCCATTTCATACTAGATTTCATTCAGAAAAATATGTATTTCATTTGAGCACCATACATAAAGCATAGCATAACATTTCTAATCATAAGTATGGTACTCAAGGTTTCAGGATAGCTCCATCTAGCGAAAATTTTGCTCATCCATACAACACAAGATCCAGAGCAAGGCAAATGGAGGAAGAAAGTTTTCATAGATTTGAAAAGCTAGAAAAAGCACAAGAGAAGATTGAAAGTGAACTAAGCAAGATTCTGGAGGCTCTTAATAACATGAATAAAGGAAAAAGAGTTGAAGGAAATACAAGCCAGCAAGATGTGACTGACCTTTTGTACCCTTCAGGTTTTGGCCCACCTCAAGCTTAGTCTACTCAAGAGGCCCGCCACAACATTTCGCATATCCTGAAATGCCATCAGCTTTCAACTCAGGACAGTATAATAGCT